TTTTTCTTTATATAATTAAGCCTTTTTTAGCCTAAATTAGCATCCAATTAATTTTTTTTAAGAGAAGATTAAATTGAAAGATGAAGTAACAAAGTAAAAAAGATGGATAAACCAGGTGGTCTCTTCAAATTTTATGCAAAAATCTTACTTTTTGTTGGTTTACAGGTGATTGGTTGTTTTAGTAATCAGAAACTTAATTTTGATACCAAAATTTATTTCCTTTGTTTGCACTCTTTTTTTTTTTTTGTTAAAGGAAAGAGAGAGAAAACATCCAAATTTCAGTGAAGAGAGAGAAATTGATTATTGATAACAATTCAAACCGCTAAAATGGTTGAAATTAGTGTCAATGAGTTCCATTTAATGAGTAGAATTTTACATAGATGTTTTTTTCTTTTACTTTATTTAGAAAACAAATCTGATCGTAAGAATGTTTTTGGATTTAGGTTGATTTTGGTTTATTGAGTTGTTTTTTTCTTGATTTTTGGAGATCATGGATAGGTTTATCAAAATGTTTAGGGTATTTTCTAAGTGTTTTGGGTTAAAAATGAGTTTTTAAACCAAAAAAATCGAAAACCTTGTTTTTCTAGCAACCTATAATCACCGGATTTTGCATAAAAAAGATGACGCGTCATAAACTATCTTATTTTTATAAAAAAAAAATCAAGGCAAACGACTGCCATTCATCTCATTAAATTTTTTTTTTTACAGTTGATAAAAAGATAATTTGGCTAATATAGAAGTTTATCGAGATTAATTAGATTATATTCTTTATATTTATTTGATTCGTTTAGATTATTTAAGAGATAAGTTCAGATATAATAAAAAAAAAGTTATTCGAAGATAACTTTATAAGTGTTTTTGTGAAACACGTTAGTAGTTTATTGCAAACGTGATAGACTATGAAACTTGAAGATTATCCTTATCTTTATCATATAAGATATATATATATATAAGGAATGTTAAGTACAAAGAAAGGTGGGTGCTGTATGCTTTAAAAAAAAGTTTCAAAATATAAAAACATTTAGAAGTAAGGGTGCTAACCAGTTAAGGAGTTTATACTTTATATGGAGTTTCACAACACATATTCTTGACACACAAGAAGTGTGTAGGACATTCTCCAGAAAAATTGGTCCCTAAATATTTGAGCCTACACATTCCTCGAGAGAGTTTCTATATAATTTGTTAGCAACTAGAGATTTTAGTTAGGATGACAACAACTTAAAGATCATCAGAAGTATTAGCAAGTTATTGTGGTAGGAGACACATCATAGTTCACTATCTGATCAAGTAAGGCAATACTTAATGTTATCTCAACCATCTTAGCCACACGCGTCTAATACAATTTCTTTTCTTTAAAAATGTTTTATACAAAAGAATTCTCATGCACTTTATCGCCATATAATTAACTTAAAAATAATCTTTGATATATAAAATTTATTGAATCCAATTATGTGTATGACTTATATCACGAGTTTGTTTGATTAAATCGAGTTCTTTTATATTTTTTTAGTTAAATGCTCTTTTTACCATCTTTAATCCTTCAACATTGAGCTAATTGGAGATTGAACTTTCCATTTTAGTTTTTCAAAATTATCTCCTCAACTCTTGCATGTTAGTTTAGGTTAACCCAATACGTTTTTACTTAATATTAAATAAAAATATCATTTAATATATGGTTAAAATATATTTTTTTAGAAGACATATTATCAACACATAGAATTTTTTACTGCATTTTTTTTCTTGCTTTGACACATAACACATACTAATTGACTATTTTAAACCATTCTTTAAAAGGGCTTTTCATGGATTAATGGTCATGAAATTTTTAAAAACAAAAAAAGCCAGTTAGCAAATGGAATATTCACAAAGATTAAGATGACTCTAAAAATTATCTAAAAAATCTAAAGTGTAATACTAATTTGTCAAACAACTTCATATTAAGAATTATAATGTTAATTTTTTATAATATTAAAAATTAATTAAAAAAACTAAAGGGAGAAAGGAAGTTACAATGCTCTAGGAAACAAAACATTACATTATTTATTGTTATAGTGTAATGATTAAATTGCTCCTAAGCCAATAAACCTTTGAATAAGACATTTGGGGCAGTGTAATATCTTCACCGTTATATAATTATATTTTACAAATTACTTGAGGTTATATTTGTTATTTAATTTTTTTTGCACAATAAAATTACTAATTTAACCTTGTAATAAAAAAAATATAATTCCTATTTACTTGGGGACTTTTTTGTGTTTTTATTTTTTTCATAATAGTTTAATTACTTTGATGCTCTTAAAAAACAAATTGCATAACTCTTTATAAGGGGTTTTTTTTTTGTCATTTTACATTAGTTTAATTGTAGATTTGAAGGTTACTTATTGATATTTTATAATTGATATATATTAAATATTTATTAAAAAGAAACTGATGGCACCAGCATGTTGATGACCCCCATGTTGTTTGAGCGGCTCGGGAACAACCCTCCACTCATCCCCTTTCAAGATGACGTTCAAAGGTTTTGGTGTCCTTATGAAATAAGGTGGTGCATGCCCTAAAATTGCCCTGGGTTCAATATAAAACAACTTTTTTTCCCCTCTATAACCTTGTTAAAATTCAGAACAACCCTTGCAATTTATTTCTCCTTCACATTTGGTTTTTATTTTTTTGATTATTTTTTTTAATTGTGAATAATCTATAAAATTACAAATATTTTTCAATTTTAGCTCCACCATTTTTTAATCTATAAATCATCCATCATATTACAAATATTTTTCAATTTCGCCTCTATGATTTTTTAATCTTTCAAATTTAATCATATTATTTTGATTGCTATTTGTTTTGTTTGAGATAATTTTTTTTTTATAATTTCATCCTCAAGTTTTTTTTATCAACTTTTATTCTACTTGTTTTGTTGCCATCTTTTTTTTTCTTTTGCATATTTTTTTTATTAATATTTTTTTCATGATTTCATCCTACAAAATTAAATTAGTTGAACCTACGCTTCTCAATCAAACATAGATCCAAGATTTTATGGATTGCGAGTTTTAGAGATAAGATTAGATTTAAAAGGTTTGCTTGATTTTTTTATTTCACCTTGCTTAACAAGGGTTTATTTGTTGTTTTTTTCAAATTATTTTTTTCTTTATAATTTTACTCGTTAACATTTGGTTGATAATCTGGATGAGCTCAAGTCTAGTTCTTTTCACTTTTTTTTGGTTATTTTTTTCAATTTATTTATTATTGTTGTATTTTTTATTTATGTTATTTAAATTACCAAATGAACCAATAAGTTAGATCTTAGAATTGGTTATCTTAATATTCTCATTTTTATACCAAGAAAAATATTTGCCCAGCCCAAGATAGAGTGGGGGCTACAAATCTGGAAAAAACTAAAAGTGGTGAATTTACCATTCATCTATTAACAAAACATCCATTTATTGAAACATTGTTTTTGTTTTATTTTTTAATATTGGTTTATTGTAGAATAAACTTTATAATTTATTTTTTTATTTAGTTATCTTGATCTCATGACCCAGGTTGCTGGTTTTGCAAGTTAACATGAGTTGATTTGTTTTTTTGTTTTTAATTTTATCATTCAATATTGGATTGATTGAGAATTGAGTATTATAATTTATTTTAATTTATTGATATAAGGTTATCTTGGTCTCATTACCTGCGTCACGATTTTGGTTTTTCTTTTTGGTTTTTTATTTAATTTTATCTTTTAATATTTAATTTATTACAATTAAATTTTATTATTTATTTTGATTTATTTTATATGAAGTTGCCTCAGTTTTATGACACAGATTGTGAATTTGATGAGTTAACTTAGTCTCGCTTTGATTTTTTTAGGGTTCTTTTTTTTATAATTTTATTAATTGATATTAAATTAATTGAAAATTAAACTTTATAATTTATTTCAATTTAAGGTTTTTCTCATGGTTATTGGTTTGGAAGGTAACCTTGTAATCAAGATTGTCAATTTTGTTTTGGTTGATGTTCTTTTTTTTTAATTAAAATAATATATTTTGCTTTTAGGGTGTTTGGACGGTACAATTCAAATTTAAAGGTCAACTAATTTGAAATTATATAATTTAAATTTCAAATAGAAGTAAAGAAGTCAAAGTTGAAACGATAAGATCTGTTGACTCGATGAGTTTAGAAATAACTTGAATGATTGGTAAAAATATAATTTAATTAAAAAAATTTAAAAATACATATTTTTTTGTAAAAAAATTATTAAGACTACAATATATTAAACCTGAGTCAAACGAGGTTAACCTTTCAAATTTATAATTTGGGTTATCAAACCATAATAACCCTAAATAAAACAAATTATAAAACTTAATTTTTAATAAATTTATTGTTAAATGATAAAATTAAAAAAAATAAATTTAAAAAACAAAAAAAAAGACTTTTGAAACAAAATTTCAAATTTAAATGAAATGATGAAAATGCCATCAACAATTTCACAAAGTTTTTAAAACTCCGATTGTCCTAAATGTTTAATATAAAATAAAATGATATGTTATGAAAATTCTTATAAAATTTCAATATAATTTAGTAATTGAATTGAAAAATATGATTAATATCATAAAATTAAATAATAATTTTTTTAAAATAAAAACATTATTTAACCGGAACAAAATTGAAACGTTCCTTCCAAAAATTTTGATGGAGTTTACAGAATAAATCAAGAATCTAAACAAGAAAAAAATTATTTCGATTTATTTTATTTTTTAAACTAAAATGAAATATACCGAGTGAAGTAAAAACTTGCTTGAAATAATAAGAAATTATTTAAACAATTTTTTGGTATTTATTTGAATAAAAAAAAATCAGCTGGTGATTCACTGAGCGGCTCTTCTTGAAACTATCCATCATCCAAACACATTTCAATGACAGTAACGATTAATAAAACCGAGGTGGCAGAATATGATTGGATATTGGTATAGATTGAAAAAATAAAAAAGTCAAGAAGAAAAGAGCTCTCTTTAGCTTTGGGTTGGCAACCCAAACCCAATTAGGCGGAGCATTCAATTTCTCACACTCTCTGACTCTCTTCGCATTTCCTCGTTTCTATCGACAAGACAGCAACACAAACCAAAGTCCCAACAAATCTCTTCCTTCCATCACTTCTATCTTAAATACTCTCCCCTTCTCCTTCTCTTCGTGCTTTCTTTGCTTCGACAATAACCCATCATTTCTTCTTCAAGGTAACCTATATCTAGTGATGATCTAATATAGTTATGTTTGTTTTGATGTTTTAAGTAATGTAACTGTTGTCTTGTTGTTTGAAGCGGTTTTTTTTTCTTTTTTAATTTATCTTGTAGGCCTTTTGGGTTCCAAAATGGAGGCTACGTTGCCTGTTTGCAAATCTGTTGCCTCTACTCCTGTAAGTTGTTGTTGCTCTTTCGTTTTTGTGTTTCTGTTCTGTTGCTTACTTGTTTTTGGTTCGAATTTGTTAGAAACGTGTCTTCTTTTTGTTTGATTTGTAGTGGGTTCGCGTTGGAATGTTCATTAGAAGGAAATGAGTCTTGGGTTTTGTTTGTTTTATTCGTTGGGGGATGGTATTGGTTGATGGCTTTGTAATGTTGGGCTTAGTTTGTATTTGTGGAGCTGGGAATTGAAGCCAATTCAGTGATTTACTTGAATTGTAGATATGTGGTGCTATTTCAATTCTATGATTTTGCTAGCCTATGTGGGGTGATGTAAATAATGAGGATGGTTTGGGAGGGTTAATGAGCTCAGAGGTTGGATTTTTAATTAAAAATGTTTTTGAAATATGAAGATAAGTGATAGCAAGTACATGTCTAATGCATATAACTTGCATTGTTGTTGTATGTTTTAAAGAATTCCAATGACAATGCTAAGCATTTTTAGTTTTATGAGGTTGTGATATCTAGTGAAATAGTCTGTGATTGTTACAAATACTGAAAGAGTTTATTTATTCAATGCATAAGGGTTTATTCATGGGGAAAACTAGTGGAATCAGGAGTTCTCAATGCAGCTTTATGATGGGAAATAAGGTTAACTTTCCTAGACAAAGAGCTCAGACTGCCCACATTAGTCACTGTGCTAAGAATGGAGGAGCTCTTGGGGTTACATGTCGCGCGGAAAAAATTCTGGTAGCAAACAGAGGAGAGATTGCTGTTCGTGTTATTCGAACTGCACATGAGATGGGGATACCATGTGTAGCTGTTTACTCTACCATAGATAAGGATGCACTTCATGTGAAATTGGCTGACGAATCAGTGTGCATCGGTGAAGCACCCAGCAGTCAGTCGTAAGTGGTTATAATATTCTTACTTTATCAGTCACATGCATTACACATGGATATTAGTTTGCAACTAGTAAGGGGGATTTTAGGAAAAGCTTCCAAGTCAGAGTCAGTAATCTGAAACAATTCATCTTAATTTAACAGTTGTTACTACCCTCTGTGTTTCACCTCATATCTTATTCATTAAAGCATTGCTGGTAGCGGTTTGATTACATTTACGTCCCCTGTTAATTAGTTTATAAATTGATAATTATAATTTTTTTTCCTGCTTGTTGAAAGTTGCAATGTTTATATAGAAATAATTTGGTTCTTGAGTAGTCATTTAATTTCTCAATAACAAATGCAAGATACTCTTAAGTTGTAGATTTGGAATATAATGAATTTATTTGTATGTTTCACTGTTTTTCGACAGGTACTTAGTGATCCCAAATGTTTTATCTGCTGCTATAAGTCGTAGATGTACAATGCTGCATCCTGGATATGGCTTCCTTGCTGAAAATGCTGTATTTGTGGAAATGTGCAGAGAACATGGAATAAACTTTATCGGGCCTAATGTAAGTAGAGACCAAGAAACTCAATAGTAGTAAAAAGTGAGATTAATACATAATCTCCTAGATCTTAGCCTATCTCATGTCAACTATTGTTTTACATTTTTTGTTGTTGTTGAATTAGATGCTAAAATCACTGCATTCTCAATTATGATAGATAAGGGAAAGATCCCATATTTGGAATACCATGTATACAGATTTTGAACAGCAATTCAATCTAGTATGATGTCCCAGAATTGGGGTTATGGCTAATGGTGACTGTTGTTATAATCTCTTTTTTTTTTTAATATAAAAATATCCCTTAGCGGCTGACATCCTTTTTTATGTAAATCTTTATTCATTAGTATGGTATGATGCAGATTGTTGAAGTTTGGTGATTATCTTTAGTTATTTGACATGTAGTAAAAAGCATGTGGAAGACAGTGGGAAGATTTATCTTTATGCTAAAAACTGTGATTGCCGAGTTGGTTGTTATTTTTTGGTTATTCACCAAATATCTTGAGGCAAATACATTTCCTGTCACTGAATTCTAAGTTTGAACCTTGTCTGCTTCTGTTTGGAAGGTGGTTAATTACATTATAATCTCATCATGGTTCTAGGTTTTAGGATGGGGTACATGTTCTATCTCAGCTTGGGTTGTATGTTAGTCAGTGTATCTATAAAGTCCATGAAGTAGTTTCAGACTCTCAGGTGGCTTTGTAGTAGAAAACTGATGGCAAAAAGTTGATGAAATTCTAAGGTTTAGCACAAAGACATGGAAAAAAAAAAAATGCTACATTGGGTCTTCAAGTATATACACCAACTTACTAAAGTTTTTCATTGAATGCTGAGTCATGCCTTCAAATTCATAAACCAACTTACCAAAGGTTCTCTGCTGAGTCATACATGGTTCTAGCAAAACTTTCCTCGCGTTTCTCTTTCATTTTGGTTATCCTTCCTTATTGTACTGGAAACCTATAATCTTCAGCACTGTAAATGGTGAAGTTGACTGTCCATTGGCATGTTTTGAAGAAATTGGATTGAGAATTGATCAAGTTTTTACCTGGTGAAAGTATATCATGAATTCATGTTTATGGCTGTCTATCACTTGCATAATTGAAAAAAGATGCAAATTATTGTTTGCTTTGTGCAGCCTGACAGTATAAGGGTCATGGGTGACAAATCAACTGCTAGAGAAACAATGAAGAAGGCAGGGGTTCCAACTGTACCAGGAAGTGATGGCTTATTACAGGTGCCATGATTGGCCATTATCTGTATTATTTGATTCAAAAAACTTTGGCATGTAAACAATTGCATGTCTTGCAAGTTTAGTTTAATTATTTGGTTAGCTCCTTTTACTCCTTTTGATAATATAGGAAGATCTAGTTTGATGTTATCTGACAAAGTTTTGTACACTGATTGTTGTTAGAGTACTGAGGAAGGAGTAAGGCTCGCCAACGAGATTGGTTATCCTGTGATGATCAAGGTAAATAATCTCCTTCATACTAATCCTTCTTTGATAGTCATGTTTTATACAGATTGTGACAACATTGAAATTGCAATATACGCCATTGCTACCCTTCCAGACTCAGACAAATGTCAGTATTTATACAGAAAGGATGGAGTAGTGTTTTCTCCTTGCTTCTTGCTTGATCACATCCTTGCCATCGACTTGTTTTGTTTTCACTCAGCTACACATCAAGCAATTTATGGAGCTCTTTACTATCTTTGCTGGAAATCTTCTCCTCTGTGGGTGCATGTGCATGTATAGAGAAGAAAGCTAAAATGCCCTCCAAGTAACCTTGTACAATAGTGCCAAGCATTAAAACTAAAATCAATTAAAATATCTCAGAAATCATTCCATAATAGGAATTATCCAAAATTATCACTTGGATTCTATGTTGAAATTATATGTTTGCATCTTTAATAAGTTACTCTTAATAGTTTCACTGTTGCCCCATTTGGTTTCTGAAGAATATGCAAGAGTGAAATTTGTGAAATTTCATAAAATAGGGTCTGGACCGGCAATTATGAGATTTGGAATTTTTTTTCCTTACATCTTCTAATACCAAGCAAATGAAGCATAAAATTAAAAAGCATTGAAACTTCTATTGAATTAAACCTATGTTCTGTAGGCAACGGCAGGTGGTGGAGGACGTGGAATGCGGCTTGCCAAAGAAGCTGATGAGTTTGTAAAGTTGCTACAGGTATGAAGTTAGTGTGGAGCTTTTCATTGTAGTGTTGGATATTTTTCCATGAAGCATGCTGCGTGAATTCTTTTGTTTGTCTATGGTTGAATTTAGTTCGCTTCCTTTGCTCTACAGCAAGCTAAAAGTGAGGCTGCTGCTGCATTTGGAAATGATGGAGTTTATTTGGAGAAGTATGTTCAAAATCCCAGACACATTGAGTTCCAGGTAATCTATGTCCGGAGATTATATGAATTAATTATAATTTGGTCCCTTTAGTGTATTAAAACAAATTAATTAGTCACTGTAGTATAAAATATAATCAAATAGTCCTTTGACCAACGTTGACCATGCTTACTTTTAGAAGTATTGTGCTCTGAAAAATGCCCTCTTTTCTAATTAGTCTTTCCATCTTATCTTCTACCCCACCCCCCTATTTCTACAAAAAAAGAAGCAAAATAAATTGGAAAAAAAAATGAAAGGGGAAAAAAGGATCAAGTTCTAAATAGATTTAAAAATACAGGGATTAAATATATAGTTTTTGAAACCATGAGGACTAATTAATTAATTTTGCTAAACTACAGGGACTAACCCATAATTAACTCGAGATTATGTTTAATGAAGGTTTCTTATGGAAGATCATTAGAGTAGAGTCTGGAAGGGGAATGACTGTAACCTTGTTAATGCTAATGCAGGTTTGCTTTTAGCAATGAAAATTTTCTTGTTACCTATAATTAAGAGCTATAAGAAGGAAGTGCTAGGAATGAATTAGGCAAATGAGATTTGATTTAATCTACATCCAATTCTTGTTGGAAGAATCTGCATCTGTTTTAGACAACCTGTACAACTAGTTATCACAAGAAGAGAAGGAAGATGCCAGGGTTTTATAATTTAAAAGAGTATCTTGAACAATAAATTCATCTATTTATTGAGGGTAAAAGGCATTTAGCATAAGTGAATAAATGATCTATGTGGAAATGAAATCTGCTGTATGGTGAAGATAAATAAGTGGGTGAATGATCTATCTAGAAATGAAATATGCTGAATGATGAAGATAAATCCAAATCTGAATTCATGTGCAAATCCAAATCTGAATTCATGCAGAAAAATAAGTACTTAAATTTGCTTTGCAGAAAATTTGAATCTGATATGAGGTAGGAACAATTTCTGAGTTGATTAGTCTAAACACTATTGACTTTTGAGTGACTCAACTAGGTTGATAAAAGTAGTCTTACTTTTCTCATAACACTTCTGACACTGCTGAATTTTAATTTGTCAATATTATAGTTCAGTTCAGTAATACTAAAATGCAGTTTTCCTTTTTTAAATATCCTTGTACTCCCAACATCAATGTGAAAGCTTCTGAATCATTCTGGTACATTATTTGATTTGGCAGGTTCTTGCAGACAAATTTGGTAATGTTGTTCATTTTGGTGAGCGAGACTGCAGTATTCAGGTATTGTTTACTTTCTTATCTTGCAACTATCACAATGGATTGCCATTTGTAAACTATTCCTGAAAGGTTGTTGGACCGTTCGCAGAAAAGAAGATAGCTTTTCATTTTTCAACATTAAAAACCAATTCTAGGGAATTCATAAAGCTTGGTAATATCTTCATGAGCATCAATAATTTTAAGGAAGCTGAGAGGTTTGGTTTCAGCATAGTCATGTTCAATCATAAGATAGAATGCATAAAAGTTTTATCATATGTTCTGGGAGTGATCCCCATCCTGTTTCTCCCTTTCTTTTTCTTCTCGTTGTGGTTGTTATTTCATGTTTACTTTTAGCAGTGAAGTAATGGTTCTGTTGAATATGACTCTTATATAGAGACGTAACCAAAAGCTGTTGGAAGAAGCACCATCTCCAGCTTTGACTCCTGAGTTACGGAAGGCCATGGGTGATGCAGCAGTTTCAGCTGCAGCATCCATAGGGTACATAGGTGTTGGAACGGTTGAGTTCCTTTTGGATGAAAGGGGTTCCTTCTACTTCATGGAAATGAACACTCGAATCCAGGTTAAATATAAGTGATTAGTGATTTAGTTTTCTGTTCTTGTGTTGATAAAAACCCTATCTTGGTGATTAGTAGTTCTTTCTTTTGATAAAATAAAAAATGCAGGTGGAGCATCCAGTGACTGAAATGATTTCTTCTGTTGATTTGATTGAGGAACAAATTCGTGTAGCCATGGGAGAGAAACTTCGATACAAACAGGTATTGGAACAAAGGATTAATAGAAGAATTTATGCCCCATGCTTGTACATCTTTTTGATAGTTCTCTGGATTTCAATTTTCAGGAAGATATTGTTCTTAGAGGACATTCAATTGAATGCCGTATCAATGCAGAAGATGCTTTTAAGGGATTCCGACCTGGGCCTGGTATGTCTACATTGTGCTGAACATTACATTCGTGTTAAATTATTACTGCTATTTGATCCTCTTCATCACCACTTTTCTAGTTGCTATTGCGCATGCCTTTTTCCTCCCAAACTCTGTTTTATCCTTCCTATTTGAACGCCCAATGTCTAATCCTTTTAAGGTGACAAGCCATGTTTTATCCTTTCTAGTTTATTACATTTCCTAGTTTGTCTATTTAATGTTTGTTCATCTCACACAACTCCTGGATTTTATTGGCGTTGCTTTTGGTTGAATTATGAAAATTTCATTCATCTTGCTGTGATTGATTTTCTTTTCCCTGAAAACATATTTAATAATTATCCAGCCGCTTGTAATATTTGTGCTCTTTTCCTTCTAAACAAACAGGGAGAATAACAGCATATTTGCCATCTGGAGGCCCGTTTGTTAGAATGGATAGCCATGTTTATCCTGATTATGTTGTTCCTCCAAGCTATGATTCCCTACTTGGAAAGGTTTGTCAAATAACAATTCCATGTTCTTTATGTTTTTGGCCGTGTGAAAAGGGGCATTCATGTTATTATCTCAATGTGATTGTTTTTTGCTTACCAGGAGCATATCTACATTCTGTAACTGCTTAGCTGCATCTGTTCTAATGACAATACATTGAAATTTACTCCATAGACATAATGATAAGCCCCACACTTGTCTGGTTTGGCCACTTTCTTTCTCTTAGAATGGTGCCCACCACATTCTATCTGGATAAATTTACTTCTAGATGCTTAGGTTCCTTGTTAATCAATTTAAGTTGATTTTCTTCTTCTTTTTGAAGTTGTATGCTGGTGACAGAAAAGCACTAGATTTTTTATCATGTAACCCCATACTGCCCAAGCACAAAGTTTGGTACAGACTTGTAAAATGAGTTGTGTGGATGTTTCCACCCATTAGCTCAAAAACTTTTTTTGTTGGATTGTCTACATGAAATCTGAGCCAACCATTATTGTCCTATCGTTAGACTTGTTTGCTTTCTCTGAAATCTGTTTCATTTCCTTGAGCTTGTGCTCATGTGATTCTGTCAGGCCCACATTTTTGTGCCGGATGCTCTAGCATTTGCTTCACTAGATTGGGAATTATTATTCTACCAAAAGATCTAAATCATGAAGATGAGGTTTGTTGAAGTGGTTGTTTGGGTTAAATATCAGTTGTTTCTAAATTTTTAAAGGCATCATAGGCAGTTAGAGTTAAGTTAAAGTTCTAACTGGAGTCCTAAGGAACATAGGGATTAAAAAATTCAGAATATAGTTCAAGTTGGAAGACACATCATTTCGATGGATTTCCTGCTAAAGCTAGACGTTCTCAATTTTTTATTGTTGTCAAGGATAAAAGTGTATCCATGGGACATAACAAAGAGTGTTTTTTTTTTCCCTTAGACATTAGCCTTCCCTCCATGTCAATTTTGTAGTTGATACTTGGATGCATTGTGTTTGCAGTTTAAAGCTACCATGCATGACAGCTTAACTAACTACTGAAAGCAATTGGCTTCATCATATGGTTTTAATTACTGTGACATTTGGAACATATTGCAGCTTATTGTCTGGGCTCCAACAAGAGAAAAAGCAATTGAGCGAATGAAAAGGGCTCTTGATGACACTATTATTACTGGTAAGTGTCCAAGAATTTGAAAGGTGCCCCGCACTGGTACCCATGTTTTTAAGTCTTGAATTGAGATAGTGGCCATGCATTGATTGTATGGAAAGAGCACATTGGGTTTAGGGAGTGAGTTTTGAAACCACATTTTTGGTTTTCTTTCTTTGATCTGGATGCATGCAAATGCAAACCTCTTTTGAGGCTCATCCTTTGATTAGTTTGGTGAGCCGCTATCCACATAGGGTTGCTGTAAACTACCACTATCCTTTGATTTGTTTCAGTCTGCTGCTAATTGCAGCAGAGTAGACATGCCATTTGTGGCTTTTCGGTCAATCAAGCACATCTCTTAATTTTTTCTCACAGATATGATTTGTTTTTGTTCTTAGAATCTGTATATTCTTTAATTTTTGATCAATCTCTCTCACTTTCTCTATACAGGAGTTCCGACGACTATAGATTACCACAAACTTATCCTTGAAATTGAGGTTAGGAAAACTATAATTTGCAAATTTATTTATGAATTTTACTGAAAAAACCCCATGTATTTTGTTTGAACCTTGAACTGATTGGATCTATGTTGCCTTTTCATATGCCCCCTTTTGCTGACAGGACTTCAAAAATGGAAATGTTGATACCGCTTTCATTCCGAAGCATGAAAAGGAGTTAGCAGCGGTAAGAAGCTGATATAATCCCATTCATCATTGAAAATTGGCCTGGGGCACGGTGGTTTTCTTGGTTAAAACTGCACATTTTCGGTTTGTCTTGGCAATTGTTTAGATATAAGCTTCTTCGTGGTCCTTTCATCTTCTTGAATTCTATCCTGATATATGCTTAAGGTGTTCTCAGCTGATTCCACTTTTCTTCTTTTGTGCCTGCAGCCACAACAAATCATACCAGCCAAACAGTTGACCAATTCAGCCGCATAAATAGATCACTTCTCAAATCGCAACCATCTTCAGCTAATTTTCAAGCGCAGTTAAGAGGCCAGGTTCTTATGCGAATCTGCTGGAAGCTTTCGTTTTCCTTTCCTTTAGAACTTGTAAATTTCAACGTGCCAGACACGGGAGAATTATTCATGAAATTTTGATGTATGCTGTATGCATTCCTTTTAGTTGGGGATGAAAATGGGGTAAAGTTCATCTTGCTCATACAGTACTTGGATGGTGATGTTTTTAGTCAAGGCTGATTCGAAATTTCTTGAGATGAAGGGAGAAATTTAGCTCTATCATGTCCTTGTCCCACCAGATGATCACATTCTAAATATCACATGAGATCCTTGGGCAGGGCAAGGAAAGTCACTGCACGAGTTTCCGACTTTTTTTTAAATAATTGAGGAAAAAAACCTCACCTCATAAGTTAACTTCTGAAAAGGGAATAAACCACCGAACAATTTTTTTTTTAAATAACTAATGTAATTTTATTCTCAATAATAATCCATTTAAGTTGTAATATATATTTTTAAAATCTTATTCATGATTATTAATTAATCTACCGTTGAGATTCAAATTTACCACAACTATCTTATTAATACATGCTATTAAATTTAATTTTTAACAGTGCAACTAAAAAACCTTTTTTTTCTCTAACCATAAAGTTTATAAGTGCAAGGAAAAGATAAATCCAAGACCATCTAATAATTGAAATAAGAGCCTAGATTTGCCAACAAGTTCAGACCCTATAGCTAGGGCAAGAAATGGGTTGTTGCGGCTCCAACCCAAGGTTGAACGGGCGGAGGAGATTGTTGGGGTTTTTCTCACATTAGTTAGTGGAGAGGTTATAAGCATAGGGATTTTTTTTCTTTTTACATTTAAATTTTAACACACACACACATATTTTCAAAATTTTATTTATAATTATTAATTAACCTACTAAGTTAAAGGAACCCTAATGAAATTTAAATGGACTCAAACTAAGTAACTTACTAAGGAATACTATATATTGAAGTTCAAATCGACTACAATTAATATTTTTATTGATATGAAAGAAACCCTATTAGGATTTATATGGATTACATTAAGAATATAATGACTCAGTCATTTAAAAAAACTATATATTTTAAAAAATTATTTTTTGAGTTGCTTTTTTACTAGAGAATCAAGGGGTTATTGGACATCTGAGCCACAGTCGACCAACTACAATTAATCACTGCAGGAAAACTTGACCTGCCGTTAGATGCAAACACTAAAAGAAACAAAAGACACGCATGCTTCAAACGTTAAGCTTGAGCTTGGACATCATGGAAGTTCACAATACAATTGATGTTGCAAGAATCCTGCAATATGGTCACTACTTCTAATATAGATATTAGATGCAGTGCTAGTTATTTAATAAATAAACACTCCCACATGAAAAAAGAGAGGAAGAAAAGCCCACATAACGGCACCATAGTTTCCTTACATATTTAACTAAATTAAGGATAGAAACAAGAACAAGCAAACGATAGATCGAGATCCTCTCCAAGTGAAAATGCCAAAGGATTGAGGTTGCCCTGTGAGAGAAATTGGCTCTCTCCCAAGTTTTTAACCCAGTACTGTAACAATCCGTAACCTTGTATGCTCAGCCACCGCCCACCATGCCGTACGGTGAGGGTGCATGGCGGGATTGGCACTCATGCTAAGAGAAAGAACTAGCGACGAGCATCTTCAAGCACGTAGCTCACTCTAGATATTATGCTAAGGTATGGTGCTGGAGAAGAGAAAGAAGGGGAGAGATCATTTTATACGAGAGGTAAAGGGACACTGAACGTGGGTTCCTTCTCCTATGGGTTAGCAATGGCAGCATCTTCCAAAGGATATGCTGCGACCACTTCCATCGCTCCACATTTGATGACCGCACCTTTCGTCCTTTCGTCCTTTCCTTCATTTCTTTTTCATTTTTTTAATTTCCAAAAATAGGGTTAAGCCGTGATCACTATACGGCCATGCTATATATTATGCATTGCTTTGTTTTTGTGAGTGTCCTATGAGTTAGCAATGGCAGCATCAGTATCTTCCACAGTTCTTACTATTAAGAAAAAGAAAAAGAAAAGTGAAGGCAGAAGTTTCCTTCTAGTGGTGGTAATGCTTATTTCCGAAAACAAAAATTATTTGGAATCGAATTGACAAGTGATCATCATATAAATGGAATGGATTCTCTTGGATAGGAGCACTAAGTGTTGTTTGGAAGATTATACCTAGTTTTAATTATCAGGATTAGTAACACGAAGTCACTTATGTCATCTCTTAATTATAAATATGGAGGTCCGTAGCAATAAAAAACCAAGAAAATCGAAAAAAAAAAATGATTGAAAAAACTGAACCAAAAAAAAGAAACTAAGAAAACCAATTAAAAAAACCTCAGCCACCCTAAACACACTACCAGATCGTCTCTTCTCTCTCGCGATCTCCCACTCCGGTCTGCCTTCCTCTCTCGTGGAAGTCGCAACGTCCTCCTTTCATCTTCGTCTCTTGCCTCTTCGTTGTGTCTCTGGTCTATCAAAGCCAATGCTTGGAGCTTGGAATGTTCTCCCACATCTTATCAGCATGTTTACTTTCATTTTGTTCTCGATTCTTCTTTCGTTACGGGCAGGGGCGTGGTTGGAATTTTTAATGTTCTAGGGTATGATATAAATACATATAAATTAATTTTTAAAATTAATTATTTACTTGAATATATAAATTTATCAAAATAATAATAAAGTTTTAATTGAAATATATAACATAAAATATAAAAATAAAATAAAATTTACAATACATAAAATTCAAAATAAAAATAAATTATACTATCAAAGTTGCATCCTTTGATGTTTTGTAGAATAAAATTCATTTATGTTCGAATCCAAATCAATATCTTCAACAAGCTCTTGTTCAATGTAAATTATCATAGAATCTACAAAGAACTCTTCTTTTATTTTATTGCGAAACACGGTCTTAACATGTTTCATAGCTGAAAATATCCGCTCTGTAGTGGCAGTGGAAACAAGTAAAGTCAAAACAAGACGAATCAACCTGTCAATCAAATGATAGTGCTGTGACTTATTTGTTTCAACTAATCCTCTATATAATTCAGAAATAGTAGACATATTCTGAAAGCTCTCATAATGAATCACATCAATCTGATAATGCTCTAACTGAGATCTCAAATAATACATCTCTTGTTCATTGAAATATTTAGGATAAAATTTATCAGCAAGCTTTAGCATTAGCTTTGAATGATTTAAAGTTGTCTTTGGGTTTTAAAGCATAGCTAAGTACAAAGCATAACTAAGTACAATGAGTTTTATTGTCCCATCACTGAATCTAGAATTTAATTCTTTCAACTAAAAATATATTATTAAGTTGAATATATCATAATGATAATGTTGGTAAACTGTCACCGAACCTTGTTGTTGATATGAACGACTTGTAGCCTTTTTATACGAAGCATTTATATGTGGTATGTGAATTTCATATTTTGTGTAAATAGATTGCACATTTGCAAAAAGAAGATCAAATTCGACATCTTTCAAAGTTTGAAGAAATGTTTTAGTAGTTGATACAAGATCCATTGCATTTAAGATGTCAAGAGATTTTTGCTGCAAAGCTCGACAAAGTAAATTAGCAATCCCTATTATTTTATACATCAAATATAAGATGAATACAAATTCAAAAGGTTTCATCACAATCAAACAACCACCAGTTTCTCCATGTATAAAGTTAAAAGATCCTTCTTGAACCATACTTTTAAGTACAGTAATAGTTGCACCATTTATATCTATTAAGATGCAAATAAAATCAACATGAGAGCTCCAGTGAGTAGTTTTACTTCGGTGTAAATTACCAATTTGATTAGCCCTTCTACTAGTCTCATGTTCTCAAATAGCTACCATATGTGCGATTTCTATAACCTGAGCATAATATAACTTGGTATGACATTTAAGAGAAGCACTAATAAGATTGATAATGGTTGTCAATTTTGAGAAAAATAACCAAATAGAAATCTCATTCCAGCTGCTGAAACTAATGTTAGTTGTAATCGGTGAACAAAGCAATGCACATAATATGCATAAGGACAATCTTTAAGAAATGAAGCTTATAGTTCATTCCATGCGCCACACATATTGCAATCACCATCATACCCTTAACCTCGCATATTGAGAATATACAAGTTATATTAAGCGAGCACATTATAATTTTTTTTTTAAGTGTTCAAGAAGTAGTATTTAAAACATGCACAATATCAAAAAAAATTCTCATACAAATTAAACCCTGGATATTAACAAATCTTAAAACAGTAACCATTTATTCTTTATTTGATGTATTTTTGGCTTTGTCAACCAAAATACAAAACTTTGCATCTCTAACTTCTTCACAAATCTTTTTCGTTACTTTGTTTGCAAGAATATGCAAAATCACTTTTTGAATAGTCAGTGAGGTATACTTTGTATTTTTTGGAGTTTTTTCTAAGACAATATCATCAATGTCAACATTCAAACTCCCTATAAGTCTTATCATTTCCACAAAATTGCCTCGATTATTAGAAGCCAAAGATTCATCATGACCTCCAAATACATGTGCTTGTAAGCTAAGCCATCAAACACTTTCAATTACTTTTGTAAGTCAATCAATTTTTCTAAACTGCTTCAACAGTTTATGCATTCAAACACTTTATTAATATGTCTATTTACTTTTATTAAATTTTCAGCAGATTTCACAGCATTATTATGTGGTGAAGTGGGACTTTTCACATGCATCAAAAGTGGACATCTAACCCTATCATTAACCTGTTCCAACTTCTAAAGCCTTCGATGATAAGTGTGAGATGACAAGACTGGGCGGTGAATATGGGATAACAAGACATTTTGTTTTCAAAGATAAAGTATGAAAAACAAAATACTGCATCCTTTAATGGTAGGTACTCTAGTCAAGGAAATTGATCAAACCAAGTGTATTGAAATCGATGATACTATCTCCCTGATTCAGTCAATAAATACTTTGCTAACTGAGGTTGATATGAATCTATTTTGATATAAGCTTTTCTAATTTCATCTTATTGATTAATAGGATGTTTCCATACTGGAGTTCGTAACCCAGGATCTCGTTCAAGAGTATTAACTTCGATTTCAACTTTTTGAGATTTGAAAGGGGGTTGTTCGCTATTAGTTGATATTTGTTTGTTTGGTTTAAAGAATGAAAACATAATTTTTTTCCTCTTATTTCCTTGATTTTCCATTATAATTTATAACCTATTCAAGTAAAAGGGATTAGA